ACATCTTTTCCAAGGAACACGAACTTTTGAGGACACTCTGTTTGTTAGAACTCTTGGCAGCTCATTCTTCTGTTTTTATTGGAAACAACCAAGACAAAATCCTCATTAATGAGACATTCACATATGTAGCCACAATATATTGTTAGACCATCTCTGTTGAGCTTTCTCTATAAAACTTCAGATTATTCATTTCCCTGCTGTGATGTTTTATAATGCAGCCTGATCAAAATCAGTACTGACTGTGCTGCTTAGGAAAATACAGATTATAAACTTAACCTTTCTTTTTAACTGTGAAGAAAATTACATGCAAACACATATAAGGCAGGCACACATACATGAAACTCTATCATAGGTTTTTGAGAAATAAGCTTCTATTGCTATGGAGTTATTTCTGTTGAGAGCTATTTTGTGAAGAAACATACACCTTCCCATGACATCTGAAACACGACAGCTTGCATGTCTATCCCTGCAGGCCTACTCGATGTGTCTCTGCCCAGTGTGGGAGAGATGTTTGTGAATGGGCCAAGAAATATGCAAACTCAGTAGTCAGGAAGGAATCTTGGCAGATTAAAGCATTCGCAAGACTGTATCCAAAGTAGCTATAATTTCTCTAAAGAATAACAGAGCTGAGAAAAATTTAAAAATTATATTCAGATAAGAAAGGAAGCTCATATAAAATTGTGCATAAAAGGTACAGTATAAACAGTTGCTACAACTCTGCAGTCAGCTCAAAAATCCTTGCTTATGCTCGAGGAAAGTACAGGCTTCTGGAGGAAAGGTTGAGACTTTAAGCTCCAAATATCTGAAGCTCATATACAGATCACATCCCACTGTTTGGGGGGAATGCTCTCCCCCGGTTTCCTTCCCCTTTGCACCTCTTGTCATCACTTTTATGATTTTCAGGGTCAGGGTGTTTTATGACTTAGCTCAGAGGCAGAGGGTAGAATCAATATATTGAAAAGGATATTACAAACGTCCAATCCAAGATCTTCTTTTGATGAATGACATACTTCAATGTAGGGTAACTTGTGCTACAGTAACAAACATTCCCAAAATCTCAGCAGCTTAATATTAAAAAGGATTGATATCTCATTCCCACTACCTGGATAACTCAGGGGGATAGGGCTCACTAACGTTGCTCAGGGCCCAGGGTAACAGAGACTAGGGGAAAAGGGAACTCACTACCACGTATGTTCACATTTCATTGTCCAAAATTAGTTCCATGTCCATGCCTAACACTAAAGAAGGCAGGGAAATAAGGACCCTCCCACATGAACAGAGAAGGAGAATCAGATTTCTAAGTCCTACTGGCCACTACAAATGGATAATGCAAAAATCCAGAGAAATCAAATAGTCTGTCCTGATTGATGTGGCTTTTTTTTTTTTCTCTTCATTAATCTTTTTTATTTTCCTTAGGAAGTATGTGTTTGGCAGGCATCCGTATATGATAGAGGTTCCAAAAATCACCAGAAATCCTCAGAATGCTCTTATTTTCCAAACATTAATTCAAAAAGGCCCTATTAGAACTGTCCATCCACATAAAGATTGAAATTTGGAACAATCACAGTCTAAGAAACATCTACCCTGCAGCAAACATTGGTCACAATAAAAAAGTGAGAATATTATTCACACAGCTTCACTTTTTAAATTAAAAAAATGACATGATCATAAGGCATGATACCTTATGTAAAGTCCAAGTTTTAAATTTCATAAGGAAACTATCAGAATCATTTCCTTCCTAACCAAATGAGAATTTTCTCACCTGTGATTTCTTACCTTTCTAATACTAGGAATCTCAAATTATTTTCAGATGACACTGATCAATATTAAATTTTATAAATACACGCCTGAAGGAGTACATTTACGATGAAAAACATACACTCTATTGTGTTGCATAATTCAAGATGAGACACACTCATGTTCCCCAGAGACTTAGTTAGCTCAGTACCTGTACAAGAGCAAAGTGGCCAACACCTGCAATCCAAGTACCTGGGAGGCCAAGGCGGGAAGACATCTTGAGACCTGAGTAAGAGCGACGGCCTGATAGCCTGTTTCTATAAAAAATAGAAAAATGACCCAGGCCTGGTGGTATGCACATAGTCCTGGCCACTTGGGAGGCTGAAGTAGGAAGATCACTTTAGCCCAGGAATTTGAGGTTGCAGTGAGCTATTATTAGGTCACTGCACACTAGCCTGGAAAACAGAGCAACGGCCTGTTGCAAAAAAAAAAAAAAAAAAAAGACCATGAATCAGATTTACCACATGACCATCAGTGTTTGCACGCAGGGTTCAACATAGCCAGTATTATGCTCTTGAATGGTTTGGCCAAGTAGAGCTGTCATTACCTACTTAAGTAATAAATCTATCATCAATCGCTTTTTCTGAATATTTTGTACAGCCTACTTTAAAAGGGTTTTGCCAGGTGGCACCTGTGGCACTGACCCCATATAACAAGGGTGGCGGGTTCAAACCTGGCCCTGGCCAAATTGCAACAAAAAATAGCCGGGCGTTGTGGTGGGCACCTGTGGTCCCAGCTACTTGGGAGGCTGAGGAAAGAGGCCTAAGCCCAGGAGTTGGAGGTTGCCGTGAGCTGTGTGACGCCACGGCACTCTACGGAGGGCGATAAAGTGAGACTGTCTCTACAGATAAATAAATAAATAAATAAATAAATAAAGGGGTTTTGCCTCCGTCTAGGCAATCTCAGTTGCTTCCGTCCCATACCGGGAACTCAGATGTGGTTAGCAGCCTTTCTCATTAGGTGGCACATTAAAAAAATGACTCCAAATAGCCTATTGTGCAGATTGAGGTACTTTTGCTCTTCAAACTCCATTAAGTTCTTATAAGCCTCAATTAAGTGAAAGAACAGCTAATTAAGACAGTCTGTTTTCAATAGACTTAGAACTTTACAGGGGAGATGATTCTAAGACCTTCTGCCTAGCTAGTCACTCCTTTTCCCATGTGTCCAAGTCTCAGTCTTTGAGACTAGACAGTAAATTCATTCTTATTTAAGTAAATCAGACTAGTCGTGCTATGATTTTTCTTTATCCCATGAGGGCTTGGGAAAGTTATTTATTCTGGAAACATCCTCTGCAGCTCGAGGAAATCTAGAGCAGGCAGGAACTTGGCTTTGTATTCAGTAACATTTAATTCGGATCCTATCAGCGAAATAGGCAAGGGAAAATAATTCATATACGACTTTAGAAACTTCATTTGACTGAAATTGCAAACATCTATCTTGTTTTAATAGTTAACAATTATCAATAATTTTATTAATAACAGAATATACTGATAGAGGTCATCACAAGTGTTCGATGAATGCTTCGTAAAGAAAACAAAAACAATTTATATACACATGGCAATATGACTGGGGGTTAGACAGCATGGAAATAATGTTTTAGAAAAATCTTTAGGAAGGCAATTTACATGTGCTACACTTTTTCTCTAAAAGGAAATGTGTATTTCAAGTGTAAAGAAGTTGAATTCTATGTCGCATTACAACTGTCAAATATAACACATAGACTTTTCATATATTGATTTTGTTACACTTATTGAATATCCAAATTACCTGAACCAGAGCTGTAACAGAGACTTTGAAACTATCTTAGCTAATTTGATAAAACGCTGAAGTTCAGTAAAGATTTGCTTTAACAAATGTAATCACAACACTCTCACTTAATGGCAGCCTAACACACCTCTGTGAGTGGGAGAGAAAGGGTGTATTTAGGCTGTGGATGGCAGTGGGTTTCTATTTCTGCAGTTAAAACTAAATGTTGGACAATTTTAAATTATGCCTACCTATGCTGTACTTCCCATTTCTCTCTCAAAATATGGATATGTCCACTGAAGAAGGTAGAACCAGGAAATATGAACACATTTTTCTAAGAGATGTTGCCACTGAAAACAATCGAGAACTCACCAGCCTGTATTTCATGTATGTCCCATGCTATGCTAAATAACAGAATGGAAGAGCAATTAAAAACCAAACCAAAACAAAGCGAGAAGAACGCCCTGCCCGAGCATTCACAGAATTCAGTCCAGAAGAGAACCAAACCAATGATTATAAGACATGAAAAGGATAATAAATGAGGCGAGAGCCAAACGTGATGGGAGTCCAGGGGACAGAATTGCACTGAGGAGTCAATGAGAGCACAGAGAGAAGCTGCCCCGTGAACTGGGGCTGGAATAGACATAGCAACTCAATATGCAGGGATGCGTTCCTTGACGAGAGAACTGCTTGTGCAGGTGCCCACAGTTCACAGGGAATACGTTATCTGGGTGTTATGAGTGGATATGGGGCTTGAACCGAGGCCTGGCTCCGAGAGGGTTCTGGAATTCCCTGGAGACTCTACTGTAAGCAAAGAATGTGAAAAAAGCAGCGTTGACTGCTGGAAGCTATCATGATGGCAGGAAAAGCTTTCTCCCTACACTAAGGGAAGAAAAGAAAGGCAAATAAGAAAGGTGGGGTGTTCTGAATGATTGAAAGTAATTTTAAAAAACGATCTAAAAACTTATCACCAAATAACATGTTAGGCAACCCCAGAATAAAATACATTATCATTCAAACAAGCACTGTCTAATTTATGTCATTTTGTTTTTAAGGACCGGATGACAACATGATTTGGATACCAGTGTTAGGCATTATTTATTTTTATTGTTCACAAGGATATGGCCTTGATTTACGGTAACATAATGGGCCCAGCTGGCCAAATCCATTTCAGGAATTAATTATGACACCACTTAAGACTCTCATTTTTTCCAACTGACTCCCTCAAATAACTAATTTATTTAATGCAATCGGGTATCTTAAATCTCGTGTACAAAAAACCCAAACAACGTTAAAGATGCCACTTTGTATAAGCAGAAGCAAGAGAACCTCTCATACACACCTTCAAATATAATTATCCATTAAATTTTTCCTTTAATTTAGATAACTCCAGGAGAAAACCCAGGGACCAACCTAATGATTTTAGCTCCCTTTATTCACCAAAGGGAGTTATTTACCTGAGAGAAACAGCGTGTGGCCCGTAGATCTCTCTGACTGCGGACAAATCCGCTTCCAGCTGTGGGTGCTTGTGCAGTTCCCCGTCATAGTTCACCTAACAGAAAGGGATGAATCAGAAGCAAGTGTCTCACAGGCGAAGAGAATCAGAAGTACCATAAGCCATAACCTTTGGATGGGTCACCCTGAACATTCTGCCATGAACACTGTTAGCTTCATTTAAAAACACAGGCAATTAAGTCGCATACCGAGACTAATATCCTAGGTTCACACATGCCAGAATAAATTATTGTGTTTAAATGTTAAAATCAGCCTATTTCTGGGGGGGAGGGAGACAGAGCCTCAAGCTGTCCCCCTGGGTAGAGTGCTGTGGCATCACAGCTCACAGCAACCTCTAACTCCTGGGCTCAAGCGAGTCTCCTGCTTCAGCCTCCCAAAATAGCTGGGACCACAGGTGCCCGCCACAACGCCTGGCTATTTTTCTGGGTTGCAGACATCATGGTTGTTTGGCAGACCCAGGTTGGATTCGAACCTGCCACCTCAGGTGTATGTGGCTGGCGCCTTAGCCAACTTGAGCCACAGGCGCCAAGCAGAATCAGCCTATTGTAATACAAAGAAAAAGCAAGTATCCAAAAGGAGGAAAATGGCAGGTAATCTGAAAAAGTCTACACCAAACATCAAGACTGAAGGAAAGCATTTACTTCCTTTCTGCGAGAATTAGTTGTATAAACAAAACTCAAATTGGAAGAATGATTTCCATAATGTTAAAATGTGATATTGGTTAAAGAATCATTTTATTCAGAAAACTAGCACATCGCTAGAGAGCTATTCCTGGAGAGAAGAAGCAGAAAGCTAGTTTTATCATGTTCATCTGTCTACTGCTTTGCTTATGTTTGATTGAACATAATTACTGATTTTCTATTCTGAATAAATAAATGTACTTGCATTTTTTTACAGAATAAGTGTGGCTTTTATGCCCTTCTTTAACATATTACCCTCCCATTATATTAACCAATATAATCCAATTAGAAAGCATAGTTGACCAAGTAGTTTATAGGAATAGAATAACATACTGTGTAGCTACACCCTAAAATTAATTGCTCGGTTTTAAATTTTAACATTATCCCAGAAACATCTGAGGAGCCTTTTCTTTATGTGACTAGGCTATTTTCATGTGTTTAAGTTATAGTATTTCTTCATAACAATTTTTCAACACAATGAATTCAAATAATTGAATAATGAGGATATTCAATACTTAGAGCCCATCAAATTTTTATAAACCATCTCCTATTTAAAATTAACAAAGTATACTCTTACTAGAAGTATCACTATTTCAAAATATTGACTGACCAAAAATTACGCTTAAGAAATGTGAAAGTTAGCCGGGCTCAGTGGCTCACGCCTATAATACTAGCACTCTGGGAAGACAAGGCAAGTAGTCTGCTTGAGCTCAAGAGTGTGAAATCAGCCTGAGCAAGAGCGAGACCCGTCTCTAGTGAAATAGAAAAACTATCCAGGCTTCATGAAGGGTGCCGGTCATCCCAACTACTTAGGAGGCTGCAGGAGGATTGGTTGAACCCAGGAGTTTGCTCTGAGCTATGATGACTCCCCAGCACTGTACCCAGGGTAACAGAGTAAGACTCTGTCTCAATGACAAAAACATGGAAGTCAAAAACAATAAAATGCTATCTGCACAATCTCTGAATGAATTAAGACAACTTCAATGTAAATGAATGATTACAGTGAAAATTATTGCAAAGGTAAACTTAATGCCTGAAAATATCTAAGTAGAAAGTGTGAAACAGATAAATGATACAGATTGTATTTTATTTATTGTAACTAGTGAGTTACAGAACTCTGCATGACACACAGGTCTCGTAACTCTCAAGCACAGATTTCCACGAGAATGATATAGCTATTACAACTTTGGGATCGGATATTTGGAAGACCGTGTTTACCTACCTGTCCTCCATAATAAAATTCTTCAGAATCATTATCGCCTTCAGAATCTTCTTCCACCGTACTATTCTGTCTTGACTCCTTAGAATAATAAAAGAGAGACAATTTTAATGATCAAACTAGTTTGCCTCTTTTCTAAAATAAAGTAGCAAGTTGTTACAATGGGCCGGTGTGGTGCATATTATGTGGATTTTATATCTAAAACATTCTCTCTACAGTATAATCCCTAAACAAAAGGTAGTAAAAGGCAAACATTTCTGTGGGTGCCTTCAGCTCTTTTAAAGAACATCTTTTTTAAGAAATCCTCTTTCACTGATCTTAAGTGAGTTGTGCAATTTAATATTGATGTATATTAAAAATATGTATAATAAAACCTTCAGTTTTGCTCTGAAGAAACATTTGGCAAGCCCATGCCAATTCAATTTTTAGTAAAAATTTCCTCAGCATTATTTATCCCAGACTATTCTCACTTCCACTGCCAGCTCTAAACAATGGCACAAAAGAAAAGACACTCTGAATTCAATAATATAAAAATCGAATTATAAAAATAAATATGAATCCCATTATGAAGAGAACTTTGTGTATACAGAAATTATTTGTTTTACAATTCAGATTTCCAAAGAGTATTTAATTTAGTATGCTTTAATGTGAAATTTGAGTTTCTAATTAACTGAGCCATATCTTTTATGCGTCTGAAGTACAAACAATGAAAATCCACGCTAGTGTTTCCATAACTGGCCTTATTAACACAGCCAGCAGAAAAGTCGTTTCTTTTGGACACGGGAATCTGGTTATGCAATATTTCATAATCATCTCTAAATGTTTGGACTGAATTTCCAGTTCTCAGGGAAAGCAAAATATCTTGAAAAGGGAACTTGGCTTTGATAAAGGTCTAACGGTGATTTTATTTAATTGGTACTTCTGGACGGGGATAAACAAGGGAGGCACCAATGGTACAAGACTAACGGCAAGGGAAGATTATATCCAACTCTCGTTTTGAAAACAAAAAAATTTCTGGGCCCACATTTTACTTAACAACATCCTGTTATTTATTAATAGATTGAAGTAAAAAAAATTAGAGCAGAGAGAAAAGATGAGTTTTTTAAAAAATACCGAACAATAATAAGACTACATACACCCTCAAAATTACATATAATCATGTAAAGTTATAGTAAGTTACATAAGGGTTCCTCAGTCAATTATGGACAAAATACACAGTAAGTTGTTTTCATATACACATTGTGTTTAGACTTAAGTCAGACCCTCTTGTTTATTATTTTACTTTCTTTAGAGACTGTGTCGTGTTATATTGCCGAGAGTGGTCCTAATGTCCAAATAAGTGACAGGTGCCACCACACTTGGCCACTTTTCTATTATTTTGCAGAAAACTTATTTCTCAGAGTTAATTTTAAGCCACTTTCTTTACCATATAAAACATTTTGAACATTCATTCACTATATGTGATTTTGAACTACCTGGAAGATATGCAGTACAAAGACACAGGTCATTTAAAGTATATCTATACTGTTTTGAAAAAATGAAAAACGTAACTCACATACCTCGCCATTTTCCTTTTGTAATTTGGATTTTATGGATAAGCAACAGTTAATGTCATTTGTTTTTCTCAACTCTGAAAGAAAGTTGTAATTTAAAAATTATTTTCGTTTTCAGTATGCTATTTACCAAGTGTTCATGAGTATCAGCATAAAACTGTCCCTAAAGTGATTCCCTCCCTTTGCAAAACAATTCTGGGATATTCTGAAATTACACGGTCTGCAAGCTTTCTGATTTTTCACTGCGCAGAAAAATGTGATCAAACGAAATACCATTACACAGATTCCTTCAGCTCTTATTATATAGGTTAAAACAGTTTAACATAGTAAATCGCACACAAACTTTATATTCACCCTGTACTTTACAGTAACTTCATTGCCAAAATTATAGGTTTCAAATATTCGGTTTATCATAATGCAGAAAAAACAGTTTTGCAATATCAACATAATACATTTAAACAGGATTTTCTTTTAGGGTACTGTAAACCTGTGCATTTAAAAATGGTCAAAAAACAAGCTAATGTACTTTAGATGAATATTTGAATGGAAAACTGGGTTTAATCGATGCTGAAGATAAGTATCTGTTCTATCGGTTAAAAAAAACCAAACAAAACATTTATGTGCAATTAAGAAAAATTAACCTAGAATGAGAGATATATTGCTATTACCTGTTGCTATTTTATGAAAAATTACGGGAATTGGCTCTGTAGTAACTAGTACATCTTCGTCATTTTCTGAACTTGACACATATGTATTATCTGCAAAGAAATATGGATAATTAAAGGCATAAGAACTTGAAAAAACACATCCTTGATAAAAATCGCAGTTAAATTTACATCACATCACTTTTGTGCCAACTCTCATAAAGCACACTATTCTCATTAAACTCAGGGAGAAAAGGACAGAATGAACTGCAGATTTATGTGTGAGGTATGAGTAATTGTAAAGGGCCTAAAGATGCCTCATCTGCTAGAGCACTAGATTCTTGACACGGCTTTAATATCCCACGTGGCCATGACTCATCTGGATGTAACTGGTCACCTCCACTGAACAGGGTCCTTCACCAAATCACTCTCTCCTACCAGGAACAGGGGTAGAGAGTAGAGAGAGGAAACTGAAGAAGAAAAATCTCCACAATAAAAGGATTAAATACAAGCTATTCAAAAACTGGAGCTAAGGATTTTGTTGTGAATTGTACTCTCTGTATTGCTTAAATATATATTGCTTATATATATATATATATAAAGTTGATATAAAGTTTACAATTATCATTCGTCCATGAATTAATTTAACTGCATACACTATACAACATCGAGTGTATGGACATTAAATTATTCCCCTGAGTCCTTCAACTTCTTCTTCACAGTTTGCTTCCTCTGGGGAAAAATATTTTATAAGCTTGGCATTTTTCCTGATAAACATGGATCTCCAAGTCCATGGTAATATCAGACCTCGGTGTTTTTTCTCTTGTGCATTGATGACTGCAAGGGCAATCTGAGAGCCAGCTATTTGACCAACATTTCACCAATTCATTGATAACGGTCCTATAATGCACCCATCAGTGACCTATTAAATAGTATAAAATATCAACAACGAATAACAAAGGCATGGATCAATTCCCATCAAGGGAAATTATTGCTCAGATGGCTGACTGAATATGCTGTAAAAGAACTTTTTGAGCTGTGTTTTCATAATATTGTGTCAGTGTAGTGAGAACATGATTTCTAACTGATTGATCGCTAAAGCATTGCTTTATTTCCAAAGAAACATCTGTAATATTTTGAGACCTTAAGAAATGAGCATAAGATAGTGATTTATGTATACAGTTTAAGCTGCAAAAGACTCTCAATAGACATAAGATTCAATAACGATCCAGAATTAAGAAGGGGCGGGTATGGATTAGATGTGAAGCAGAGTTTGTCTCATTTCTTAGATTAGCGTTAAATACCAACCCCTGCTATAGACTTTTATTTCTCAAGCCCTCACTCAGAGTCTTACTGATTAGAAGTTATTTGCTACATCATCAAGCTAGCTATCTGTTTTCTCTGTGCAAAAATGAATTCCTCTGAGCTAAGGTTAAGGACAGAAAGAGTATTTAGAGGAAGCATGAGAGCAAGAGAAGTTAAAGCTGACCAACAACTAGAAGGGAATACCCACAAAAATCCGCGGAATGAGGGAGTTTACTAAAGCAGAAGTGAATAAATTAAGACATTATGTTTAAGAAAGTGGGAAAGTGAATAACCAAATTGAAAGGATTCTCTCTCAGAATGAATGACCCTGGAAGGCAGGAAGCTTAGATTCAAGAGAATATAATTCGGTGAATACATGTTGATCTGTCGGAGGAGAGGATTACGCCTTCAAACATACAATTTTCTAAGAGATTTTTCTGCCAGTTGGTATTTTGATTAGTATTTGGCATTAGGGTACATTTAGTTTCTGGTTTTGGCCTAATTTATCCCAAATCAAAATGATCTCAGGTACCATAACATTACTTATTAAAATGCCATTATTATTACACATAAAATGCCAGACTGGATCACAAATGTAAACTCAAGGGGTGATCAGAAGTGTAGAAGAGTAAAGAAGTCACATCAAATCCAGATGCTGCTTTGATTTTTTAGAAGAATCCATTTGCAAAGCCCTCTGCTTCTGGGCTTTTCTTAACTGGGAAGTTTTTGATTATTGATTTGATCTCCTTCTTCACAAATGATCTGCTCAGATTTTCTGTGTCTTCATGATTCAGTCTTGGTAGGTTATATTTCCAGGAAATTATCCATTTCTTCTGTGATGCAGTCTAGCAACCCTACTTCTGAATATATATCCAGAGGAAATGAAATCATTGTCTCAAAGAGCTATCTGTGTCTCCAAACTCACTGCACCATCACTCACAACAGCTAAGGGGGGAACAGCCTCAGTCTCCATCAGCAGATGACTGAATACAGAAACTGTGGGACACACGGCTAATGGAATATTCATTCAGTCCTAAAGAGAGAAATCCTGCCATTTGCAACAACATGAAAGAATGTAGAGGACATCTTAAGATGGAAAGAGAGACACCGCGTGATTCCACGTTTATTTGTGATCTAAGTAAGTTGAACAGAAGCAGAGCATAAGAACGGTGGATGCCAGGGGTTTGCAGAAACGGAAAGATATTTAAAAGTGCACAAACCTGGACTCAACACTAATACAAAGCCAGTAGATGAGCTAATGCGTGCCCATATAGGAGAAAAACTCGTTTTAATTCAAGTCGGAGAAGGAGGGGGTGCTCTCACTGAACAGGCATGGTGTGACAGCCACTACCTAACAAATCAAATATTATGAACTGACTGCACCCTTCACATTAACCTCAAATTAAAACGGGGGGAGGGGGCACGCTTCGAAGTTGCACTTATATAGAACGAATAAGCCTACAGTCTAATGTTTCATATAAAGATGCTAATTAATAATATTGTACTGAATAGTAGCAATTTCCTAGGAGAGTGGATTGTAGGTGCTGTTACAATAAATAAATAAATAAAATGTGAAAAAATGGCACAAACTTTTAGTGACAGTGGTAAGAGGGACTTCTGGAGTTCTAATCTACAGCTGGGATGGTGACGAATGTATTCATTTGATTGTGGTAATGCATGTATGTATTCATATATGAAATCATCACATTGTACTCCTCAAATATATTCGACCTTTATTTAACAATTAATTTTTTTTTTTTGAGACAGAGCCTCAAGCTATAGCCCTGAATAGTGTGCTATGGCATCACAGCTCACAGCAACCTCAAACTCCTGGGCTTAAGCGAGTCTCTTGCCTCAGCCTCCCAAGTAGCTGGGACTACAGGCGTCCACCACAACACCCGGCTACTTTTTGGTTGTCATTGTCATTGTTTGTCAGGCCTGGTCTGGATTCGAACCCACCAGCTCTGGTGTATACAGCTGGTGCCTTAGCCACTTGAGTTATAGGTGCCACTATTAATAATTAAATATTTTTTAAAGAAGTTTTAAAACTACTACTCCCAACTAGCTGCTGTTGGTTTTTGATTTTACAAGCCACAAAATGAAGATCTTTGAAGTTCAATCTACATGAACCCATTCTACATGTACTTTTCATTATTGCTTAAATAATTCTAAATCTTCCTTAAACTATTCTGACATTTGTAATAACAACATCACTCTTGATTAGAGATTAAAAAAAAAAAAAGTAGGCTATACAAAGGGCTACAGAATGCATTTGAGGTAAAGAATGAGTCAGTGGCAGAATAATGTTTTCAAACTCAAATTCCTTCACGGAAATTCTCCCTCTTCAGAGCTGCCTATTTGTTATTTCCTTAAAACCCTCTGTGGACAGCTACATTCTTCCGTGTGTGTGATATAGAGGACCTTTGCTAAAGCAGTTAATAATGTACGTATTTTCTTTTCGTTTCTGTACCAGATTATGGCCGCATAACTACAATCTCCATGGACAATTGGCAGACGCAGACTTAAGTGAGCTACAGTGTCTTAACTGTTGCTTTCATTCTCTTTTAAATGCAGCTTAATTTAGATCAAATCGGTTCATTTTTCATTCCTACATAATTTAAGAGAAATAACAACTATAACTAAACAATACTTATGTTGATTTTATGTTATATTCTGAGTATTGTCCCTGATTTTTTTGTTGTTTCCTTTTGTTTTCTCAAGCCCAGGCTTGAACCTGCCACCCCTGGTGGGTGGGGCTGACGTGCTAACCAGAGTTATGGTGGCCAGCTTGTCCCTCAATTTTTACATGATTTCATGCCATCCTCTAAATCAGTCAATTATTATCCCTATTTTAAAGATTAAGAAAATGAAGCTTAGGGAAACTAAGTAAAAGTAATTAATTACACAGCTAGTAAATGGTGAAGCCTTACTCTGTCTTAATCCAGTGCTTAGTCACTATATATTATGTGTATTGTAAAACATGGAAGGTATTGTCACTAAACATTTGCAATATCTTATTAAATATAAATGCTTAGTAAGTATAAAAACAACAGTATTTTAGACATCATAACCTGAGAGAAACTGCACAGGACTCTAATTCTCACTTGAGTGGTCTGTTCGTCAAGTTATATGCAGCACTCAAGTGTCTTAGGTCAGGCAAGACTCTTCGGTATTAGAGGATCTAGAAACTGCCTCCGCATTCCTCTAACTTCTAGCGAGGAATGTAGGAAGGATGACAGAACTCACTCCCATCAGGAGGTAAACTTCCTAATTAAAGGTGGGAACAGATTAAGCATTAAAGAATCCTGGTGATTTGTGATACGCACACCTATTCTATAAGCCATTACCATTAAAAAAAAAAGTTTTTACTATAAAATCCACAAAGAAGAACAAGTAAATCGAGAGGCTGCTTTATTTTGAACAGCCAACATAATATTTAGCATTTCATTTATGTGCATGTCATTATGTATGCCTGTCTCAATAAGGACCCTGTCGATTTTCATTTTCACAAAAAGAAACTATGAATTTCAGTAGGTGGCATGAGTTCATTATTAGTAGATCACAATTATAAAATGGCACATCTATTCCTCGCAATATAAGCTAGGGTGACACAATTCTGACTTTGGAGGACAATACTCATACGTTTTCACTGGGCAAAAATTTTCATATTTTCAAACTTGGATGATGAACAAGTCATTGAATCAAATAATCTAGGGCAAGTAGAAAACATAATCCTAAGAAACATTATCAGAGGAACTACTCAAGGTGGCATCAAGATTACGTCATTTAGAAAGTAAACACAACATTAGAGAGAGCTATTTGCTTGAAAGAATTTAAAAAATGGGCCAATTTTTGGAAGACAAACCAAAGGAAGAAAAAGACAAAAACAAATATAAACAACAAACACAGAAAGGAGAACTCGCCACAGAGAAACAGAAGATTTTTCCACATACAGACTAAACACTATACTTTTGGCTTAAAAATCAGGACATTTCACCAGCGTAATGACTTATAAGAAGAAAATATGTTAAATGAGACATAGGCTGGGCGCGGTGGCTCACTGCCTGCAATCTTAGCACTCTGGGAGGCTGAGGCTGGTGGACTGCCTGAGCTCAGGAGTTGGAGACCAGCCTCAGCTAGAGTGAGACTCGATCTCTAAAGAAATAGCCCGGCGTTGTGGCAGGCACCTGTAGTCCCGGCTACTCGGGAGACTAAGGCAAAAGAATCACTGGAGCCCAGGAGTTTGAGGTTGCTGTGAGTGATGATGACAGAGCACTCTACCCAGGGTTACAAAGTGAAACTCTGTCAAGAAAGAAAGAAAGAAAAGAAGGAAGGAAGGAAGGAAGGGAGGGAGGGAGGGAGGGAGGGAGGGAAAAGGGGAAGAGAGAAGGGAAGGGAAGGTCTGAGACAAAACAGACCAATAATCATGCCAGAAACAATAAGACAACTGCCCTAGAACCATCCCTAAGAAGCACCAGGCTTGGAGAGATTTGCTTGGATGTTTTAACAAATACACAAAGAACAATTCAAGTCCTTCAGCAACTGGCTAAAATACATGACAAAATGAACATAATTGTTACAGATAGACATTAAGGTATCTGCTAAGGTAACTTGTCACCTTACTGCATAAAGGAGAAAATACATATGATACCTCAACAGATGCCGAACAAAAATTTTACAAAAACTTAATATTCACTCTTTAAAAATAAAAAAAAAAAAAAAAATCGGTAAGAGGAAAGGAATAATATTTCCTTTTCTGAAAGCAATCGGATGTGCTCACATATTTTGAGAAAAGGGTCAAAACTGCCAATTCTCATATCTATTACTAAAAATTACTCCAGAAGTTCTAGCCAGAGCCAGAGGCAGAAAATACACGTATAAATATTAGAAGAGCAAATACATAATATTTAAATAATATTAGGTTTCTAAAAAGTCAAGCATATTAAATAACAATTCTTCGTACAAATAAATGCGGATTAAAGTTTAATATTAGGGAAAATATAATCATATATTAATGTTCATTTTGAAAAAAGCTCCATAAAAACACTGACACTACTACTTCCCCAGAAGCAGTAAGAATCAGAACACCTGATTGGAAGACCGAACTGCAGGTGTTTGGGGAAATATTATTTAATGTCTCTCAGCACATTCCCTCCGGTCTGAATGTCATAATCATCCCTGTTCTGGCTTTCTTACAAGCTGGTGTTTAGAACCAACTGAAAGCATCTATGTGGAAGTCCTTGGTGTAACGGCACGTACAGTGCATCTTGGTGCTCGCTGCATCAACCAATTCAAAACGCTGCCGCAGGATTCAGACCAGAATGCGCCAATCTCATTCAATCATCCCTGTGTTTTATTGCAGGATAAATAAACCTACTATGATCACATAGATCAAGTAACATGTGTATTTACACTCCTTTGCTTTCTGGAAATAAAATTATGTTGGAAGTTCACTACAAAGTTGCTCCAAGAAGGAAATTCAGTAAAAAGAGAACAAATAATGCTTTGTTTGCAATGCTTTTGATTTAAAATTTCTGTTTTTACATGTTGGAATTCCCAGTGGGGCTCCTAGGAAGGCAGAAAAAGCCCAATTAATAGTTCTGGGAAACAAACAGAGCTAAAGATTTGGTCAATGTGGTTTACCCAAGGCCTCTTTTACCACTTAATCATGAGCTGTAGAATAATTAATGGAGTTTTCAAGATGGACTTTAATTTGCATTTCCGTCACCTTGACTTAAAGTCCTGCATCTTTCATGGCTGACATCTCTATAACACGCTTCACTGAGAAGATTTAGTAATATAAAATTTACAATGAATAGTGAAGCTGTTGTTTTTTCTGTCATATCTAACCAACATTCAGCATCAAAGACATACCATACCATAAGAGAGGGCTGATAGCACAACCGTCTACAAAAAATTTTTCCTCACAAATTTTTCTTGTTTTAGTTCTTCTAGTAAAACTTGCCTAGAACTCTTTGTTACTAATAAAACATAGGCATGTCCATGATAATAAATTACCTCCACTGTAAAATTGTACAACAGTTTTTTATCGAACATTATACTTAAAACACATGGAGAACACAGCAAAATAATTACAAGTAAGTTTATAATTTAAGAAATTATTTTCAAATATAATATTTAATCTTATAAAAAGATAAAATGCTTAATGCAAAGTGCTACAGAAAATAACTTAAATGCTAACAAAGTTTTCCACGAGAAATTATAATTTTTTTTTTTTTTTTTTTGAGTCAGAGTCTCACTTAGAGGGCCGTTGTGTCACAGTTCACAGCAACCTCAAACTCTTGGACTTAAGCAATTCTCTTGCCTCCGCCTCCCAAGTAGGTGGCACTACAGGCACTCCCCACAATGCCCAGCTATTTTTTGTTGCAGTTGCCACTGTTATTCATCAGGTCCAGCCGGGTTCGAATCCACCTGCCTTGGCGTATGTGGCTGGCACTGTAACCACTGTGCTACGGGAATTAAGCCTAAATTTTTTAAAAATACTAAAAAATATACATACATACATGCATACTTAGAAAAATGATGGGAACTAGTAAGTGTTCTCTATCATTTTTACATTATGAATGGCGAAATGATGTTCCATAACTAGACAAGTTTAGGGAAGCTTTATTTTGATTGTAACATAAGACTACACAAGGGAGCTGTCACAGGACTCATGTAAAGAAGTTTTCATTGGGAAATGATTTTGATTCTGGACTATGTCTCAGAGTAAGACACACACTTTACAGGCAATCAAGAGAATTCTGCATTATATAGATCTCCCAGTGCATTGGTCTCCCAATGCATGACCTCTACGATATATTTATAGACTTTTTACATCTCCAGAAGAAAAACATATTCAAAAGAGTCATGACATAAATATTTGGAATTGAAAGAAAAAGAACAGAAGCATACCTGGGTAATCTTCAGATACGTGTACTGAGTAAGACACACTGTCAAAAGAAGAGAACAAGAAAAAAAGGTTCAGGTTACTGCTGAGGTAGCTGTACTTATATAAAAGAAGAGGTTACCTCCAATTACCCATTCATTTATACCGATACAAGTGTAAACAGAACATCCGTAATGGATAAGGAAACTCCTTTTATAACTAACAGAAACAGGTTTTTAAGATACAATTACCTGAGTCTAAGCTGGTCTTTCTAAAACCGTTTTGGACTATCTTTCTCCCAACTTCTTTTGGGACAGAGGTCTTTTTACTTTAGCAACATCTAATACCTCCTAACTTATCAGCATTTGTTTTGCTTGCTCAAATTTCATTAAGTCATCTTTTCCTACCAAAAAAAGCATTCCTCCTATTGGCACTCAAGAACTTAAACAGTTATTTTTAATATTACTTCCCCACAATATGATATACTTTTGAAAAAATGTCCTGTTCTTCCAAATGAAAGTCTAACAGTTATTCTTCATCAGCCAGTCTCTCATCACTGCGGTGTACATATATGCAGTGGGTACACATATGTAAATAAATAAAAAATAAACTACCTGTTTTCAGAAGAATTGAGTTGTCTCAAAAATAAAACAATAGTGCTTTGTACTTATATGACATATGAAAATCTAACACGCTTATTTGTTCACTTTTCTATCTCTAGCAACTAGATTGCAAGTCTCTTGAGGTTCGAGTCTATTCTATTTACATTTGTAGCACAGCCACCTATTTACTGCATGACACAGAGCACATGTTCAAGAGTAGCTATTTGACGGGATTGGTAGAACTGCTACCTGCCACAGAGAAGTCAAAATTTAGTTTAAGTTCAGCCAATTAAATAGCCAAGTTCTGCCTATTAAAAGAAAAAATTAATCCTCTTCAAAGGAACACAGAGAAGACACAGTCTATGCAAAACATCATTCACAAAGTGAATCCAAGGTAATTCAGAATCACTGTATGAACAAACAATAAAATGTAAACTCTTTCCTAAATGAAAAGACGACTCACATCTTGGGATTACCTACTATGATGGCACAAGAATAAGTCTAAGTAATCTTAAGGATATAAAGGAAATCCCAATCTGAGCAAGAAAGAAACTAAAACAAACTATCAGGAACCTCTAGGGCACTAGCAAAAGGGCAAATATTTGTGTGGCTAAGAGTTTTGGCCGAGATGAGTGAGGATAAGGCAAAAAAGAGAGAGAGAGAGAAGGAGAAAATAAGAACGTAAAAGTTCCCAATTTCAGGGAAACACATAGATGTGCAGATTGAAGAAGGTCAAAAAAAACCTGGAATAGAGTAAGAGCAAAGAAAATTACACCCAGGAGTGCTTAGTTAAACTGCTGAAAACCAAATATATAAAAAAAATTACATCAGGCAAAAAAAAAAAAAAAAGACACATTACATACAAGGAAATGATGAGAAGAATCAATCCTGACTTTTTAAGGAGAGAAAATGATCAACTCAAAATTTTATATCCAATCTATATATCCATCAAAAATGAAAGTAAAATAAACTTTCAAATAAAATTGTTAACTTTGGCCCTAGACAGCTGCACTGTGAGACATTCTAAACAAAGTTCTCCTAACTGAATAATATCAGACAGAAAGTCAATATCCAAAAGGAATGAAGAGCAACAGAAACAAAAACACCATTTTTTCTTAATGTTTTAAAAATACATATGATGTTTAAAGTAAACATTAAAACACTTCATTGTGGGATTTAAAGCGTACATAAATTAATATGTATGATTAAAGCATAATAACAGGTGGGGGAAATGTTTGCAAGGTCCTTACCTATCAAAGTGAAATGTAAGATATTAACCCTAAATAATAACTGTGAGGAAAGTTAAGGAAATGTATTGCAATCCCTAGAGCAAGCACACAAGTGTGCACACACGCGCGCACACACACACACTACTAAAAAGCCAATGGGTACATTAAAGTGAAATTCTAAAATTAATTTTGAAACACTTAGGCAAAAAGAAGGCAGGAAAGGAAGAACAGAAGAACAAAAAACAAAAAGAATAGAAAACAAAAAGGAAGGATTTTTTTTTCCCTGAATCTAAGCATATAATAACTGCATTAGATGGTAATGGACAAAACACACTAAATAAAAAGACCAGAGTGGATAAAAGAAAGCAAGAACCAACTCTTTACGCTATGTTTTAGGTATCCACATGAACTACGAAGACACACAGATTTAAAATATAGGACGGCAAAGAGACACCATGCAGACAGTAAGCATGAGAAGACTGAAGACAAAGATATAAAGAGATGGGTCACAATGCTAAAAGGGCTGGTTCATCAGGAAGAAAGCATAACACTCACGGATGGACACGGACCAAACAGCCAAGCTTCAAAATACATAAAGCAAAACCTGACACGGCTACAGGGAGAAACAGACAACTCTCACAGTCATAGTTCTGAGTAATTAAAATAGACGAGAAAAATCACTAAATACACTGCAAAATCTGAAACTTATTTTCATAGGCCACCATAACTGCAGAATACCAAGATACACAGTTTGTTCAACTGTACTATAAATCTCAATAAATCTGAATTGATGGATGGACACGGTTTATTATAGATCATACCCTGCATTTCTTGGTTCCTCTTGCCTATATGACACTGAGTCTTAAGTCCTTAAAAAGTCACTGCCTTTTACGTTCTGGTAGGCACCTGTCGTCCCAGCTTTTGGGGAGGATTGCTTGAGCCCAGGAGTTGGAGGTTGCTGTGGGCTGTGATGGTGCCACTGCATGCTGACTCAGAAAAGTTGTTTGTTTGTTTTTCTAATGGAGTGACAAAGTTTTATGATAGGCATAAAGTTTTAAACTATTTTAAATAAGTTGTTGGCAAACCCTACTTCATTTGTATGACAGCAGTATCTTCATTCTTGTCCTTTAGAATTTAGGGGATTGGGTGGCGCCTGTGGCTCAAAGGAGTAGGGCGCCAGCCCCATATACCAGAGGTGGTGGGTTTAAACCCAGCCTTGGCCAAAAAAAATACTTAGAATTTAGGGGATGGTGATACCAAGTAGCAAGTCAGATTTGTAAAAAAGTTTTTAAAAGTCGCTGCCTTTTAGAATTTGTGACTAGACTTATAGGGTTTTGCTACCATGGCCCTAAAGCAATGCAGCCCTTCCAGGCAAGCTCACGTTTCCAAGAGATGAGGCAGAGACAAGAAAACCTGAATGAGTACATGGGTAGGAGAGAAGGTCAGTAAGACCACGGACGGATATGCTGTTCTTTCAAAGCATATTCAATTGTCCAATTATTATCAAGAAGCAGTTTGTTTGTTTGTTTTCCTAACTAGGTATAAGCCAAACATTGTGTTAATGTCAAATAAGTTCTAAATAGAAAAAAGAAGAATCAGGAGAGATACTTTCAGATGATTATTTCAAAGGAAAACACAGACCACGAGACATGGTGAATATGACAGACAAAAAGAACTTCAATATTTTGGAGCACAACAGCATTCTTTTTTACTTTTTAATTTTTAAACCATATACAATATAGATTCCATGCAGTTGCAAAGCCTGCATACAGACAGGTACCATGGTAACACCCAGTTTCACCCCAGTGCTTACACATTTTATATTTTTATATATAAAACCAGGAAACTGACCTTAGTGAACAGTTTGTGTACAATCCTATGTCATATGTACGTGAATCACATACCCACTACTGCAAACCAAGATACAGAAGAAAGATTTCCTTTGCGCTGCCCTTTCTAGAGTCACATCCATCCCCTTCACCTAACATCTCTGCGCCCAAACGGCCACTCATCAGTTCTCCCTCTCTGGAACTCTGTCACTTCAAGAATGACACACAAACAGAATCACAGCGTATAGGGCACAATAGTATTCTAAGGCAGAATGAGTAGTTTGAAAAAATTACTCTCCAATGTTTAGGCAATGTTTAGGATAGACTGAAGAAAAGAGCAGATTAAAAAGTTATCATGGTAGTAAAATACAAGCAAATATCTGTGGGGAAGTATGTAACAGGAACGAGAAGCAAGGAACAAATGGCAGATGCTGGAGCCCGGCCAGCAGCCCAGCTTTGGGACTCATGGCCCTGAGTCAAATGCCGAGCATTAGAAGATAAAATATCCATGGCAATGACGCCTCAAACAAGCTGCGGGAGACATACACTCTGACCCCGCATGAACTTACTTTCCCATGATTCACTCTCATACAGTGGAACTGTACTATGTAGAAATAAAATTGATGATGAAGGCACCCCTTCTGATCTGGCAGTACTGGGTGACAGAAGCCTGGCCCCTTGCCAGAGATTATGCTCAGGACTAAGCTGAATTAATTCCCAACAGCCTACCATCTAAACCAACAGCAGTTGGCTTCATTTTTTATCCAAATCAATGTCTAAATCCAAAATGAGGCCTTAATCCATCCCTTGGTCCACCTCTAGTTCGAGAGCCTGTTGTAGTCTGAGTCGGGCAAACAGGAGTCAAAGTGGACTGGTGGCATTAAAAAAAAAAAATACAAACAGTTAAATACATTCAGATTCAATCTTCAGTAAAATGGAAGAATCCATACCTACCTTAAGAGCCTGCTGTGATGATTTAATGACTTAACAGGTGTAAGGACCCCAGGACAGCCCAGACACATAGCAGCAGGTGCTGAGTAATTTTAGTCAGCTTCCAGCACAAGCAATTAAAATTTACAGAAGTGAGATTTTACATGAATGAATGTTCTCTGGGGAAGTCAATTTGCTAAAACATACTATCTATTATGTTTATCAGAGATCAAAGCTAACATTGATGATTTTATTTTATGGCTGGATTGTCCTTGGGATCTCAGGAGACATTCCTATGCTCATGACCATACCTAATTTTTCAAATGTAAAATACCAAGCAGAAGCCCTGCAAAAATGATTCATCAGCTCCTTGTGCTATAGCATTTTGGGGGTAGTATACCAGAAGGAAAATCACCAGGACTGTAAAATCCTAATCAGTTTCACTTTGTGGCTTACAGAGTTCTAAGGGAAACG